TCGCTATTTTCACTGTATACGTATATACTATATAGACGCGCGCGCATATACGTGGTCACACAATAGGAGACGTCTTTGTACAAACAAATTGCTAGTTTTCCACGTATAGATATTATATATTCAATATAATAACAACAATGCCAATAATAATAATAATAATAATAATAATAATAATAATAATAATAATAATAATATAAGGACACACGCGGCTGCTACGGGGCCCGGCCAGCAGACGATCGCATTATAATATTATCATCGCGAGCATATTATAATATATAATGACATGTATGCAAGCACAATACCTCTGCAGTTCAGTGTCTACACACACACACTATTGAATATTATACTTTAACTAGGCAGGTAGGTGTACCTATAATAATGCTAATATATCTATATTATATACACATGGTATTATAATAATATTATTACGATACGTCGTACCCATAGGAGGTAGGTAGGTACGCATCGTTATGCAGCTACTGTCCACAGAATAGATGAAATCTATTCTGTGTACTGTCTACGGTCGACGAATTGAACGGCGCTGATGAACACTGCTCGGCGTGTTTGGACTGGTCTTTTATTATAAGTGTGTGTGTGTGTGTGTGTGTGTGTGTGTGTGTGTGTGTATAATACATAATATATTATAATATGAATTTGAGACTGTATACTAACTTTTGGTGTATCGATACGGCGACGGTGGTTGTGCTGTATACACAATATATAATAAATAGGTACATGTGTACACAATATTTGTATTGTTATTTTACCATACGATATAATATAATATTTTGTATAGGTACCTTCCTACGCGCGCGAACGTGAAAGAAAAAAAAACCGTGTAATCGTCATCTGACGAGACGTTCGATGAGAACCGTAGAGGATCGTGACTTATCGAAATAATACGCGTACGTAGAAGAACACGACAAGCCCTAGTTGCAGTCACGAGTTGTGCACTTGTGTATGTACGTATATAGATATGCATAAGTATAATATTTTAATAACATACACACTAATCACTATTGCACTTGGCACCTCCTACTACAGTACTATACAATATATTGTCAGTGTACCATATTTCGATATCATATTTGATATTTCCAATTCCAACTGATGTTTCTGCTGCAACTCGATTTTTATTTTCTATTTATTTTTATTTTATAATTTTGTGTCCTTAGTAGTTTGCGCGTTTTATATCGGTGTGCATGATTTATCGTAAGATAACGCTTCTTCGACTTGTTCACAGTATATCTGCTATTGCTGTCAGCGGACTGTTTTTCGGTTCGACTGGAATCAGGAACTCGCTCAAAATGGAAGTTCTGCAATTTCCCCTGTCTTAACATACATAAAAATATTATACATAAACTATAAATAAATTATACCTATTTTTCGGCCTACGAGGTGTATTACCCTCACCCCCACTTAACCGTACTTGTCACCCACCAAAACTTAACACGTGTAAATTTTGAGTTTAGTATACCTGACCCATGTGCGTACACAAAAAAAAAATCGGGGGGGAGGGTTCATAATCTAATATATATAAATAAAGTATTTTTCGGGGGGGGGGGGTTGAACCCCCAAAATCCCCCTCTGTATACGCTCCTGACCTGACCGAAAATAATGCATAAAAATATTGATCAGAAAAAATTAATCGACGAGAACAATCACCGCAGAGAGCTATTTAGGTAGGTATGTTATGCGTTTATGATGTACGAGCATAGATTAAACATAATCTATGGTACGAGTGCACAATATTCCTTCTATCGTGTTTTTATACAGATGTTATTGTTCTATTATTTTATATTTTACCTTTCCACCGGCTGTCCGTTCTTCGGTTTTGCAGAATTGGCCACCACCATAGTGCAAATACAAAAAACGACGATAACGCAACACAATAACATACGCATCAACATCACACTGACTAACACGTAAACATAATATTATAATTCAATAATAATAATATAGAGCAATACTCAAATACGACGCACGCAGCGATTTCCATACAAACGTCGAACACAAAACGACTTCACAATCAACAACAGCATATTTTATTATTATTATTAACATTGTGCAAGCGACCAGTACAGTATTTTCTGCACACAATACCGTATTGGTTCTAGTCGGTAGTCATCTTAATAATAATAAACTTCAGAGAAATTTGGTGTATAATGTGTTGCCTATATGGCTGTGTAATAATATTATATTCACGTATATTGGGAAGATAATCGCCATTGACTAAAATTTATAATAATTATTATATTTACGATTATAGTTTATGTGATAGTTCTAAACAATATTCTATCGTTCCTCGATTGTTGGACAACTATCTGAGATTATTGACAGGAAAACCGATATAAGTCAATTGTATAATGCAAAATAAACAATGCTGTCGGGGAAAAGGTAAACAACTCGATACCGACCGTTTTTAAGGAGTTACATATAGGCAATTTTCTAAGTACTTGAGTGGGTAGAAAGTGATCATTAGTATAATAAATTGTGTGTTTGACTGTAAGTACATATAATTGAAAAGAAATAACGGAGCGTTCCCTCACATGCACTCAAATGTCAATTATTGGCAAGTATTATTATAATACGCTACTTTGTCTAAATTTTCAATTTTTTGCCAATTGTATTAACTAACCTAGTTACTCGATATCTGAAAACACATTTCAATTCGTCATTACTCGTTTACTTGAAATCGAGTAATTTAAGTTTTAAAATTGTGATTCATTGATTCATTTTTTTAGTTAAATATTATTAACATTTTAAAATCTAATTTTGAAGTGTTTAAGTAACAATTTCAAAAAAGTAAAAATATTGTTCAGTATTAACGATTATTTAAAAAAAAGTACTGGGAATTTTTATCTCTCAAAAGTAGAATCTAATATTCAATTTGCTAATTGCAACCAGAAACCACCCCCAAGTTGAAAATCCAAGCATTTTTTCTATTTTCATTTTATGTCTTGTATATAATGAACATAGACACGAAAATTACACAAAACAAAAACACATTATAAAATTCAACGCTTCACAGAATAGAACTGAGCTTCAATCTGTTCTATGATTTTTAAATATTTAGATAATTTGTAATTTTATTCTAAGTAAATTCAATTTGAAAACTTTCGTAAATCTTAGTACAGTATTTGTTTATAAATGTAGGATGTGTATGTTTCGCATTACATCAGCTAATTTGGATTCGCATTTGAGCCAGTCTTCAACAGTTCCACGCTCACTCTATTTAATCAGTTTTTAAAATTCCCAAATGCAAGATGCATATGATAATTTAAATTTCAAAAGTAAAGTTCTAGATACTTAAGACGGCTTAAACTTGATTCTCAGCTACGTCATGCATCGTGTCGTGTATGGTAACTATAGTTACAACTGGTATTATATTAATTTGGTTTAAAAGTTGAGCTGTAGTCAAATCTTCGTATATTCGGTTGGCGGTTGCTACTTGGTTACTACAGAATAGTACCATAAAAGTAACGTCCAATCAGAATGCGATCGACACAACACGACGTAGCTGTGAACCCGGTTAAAGATTAATAATGTCTTGTATACAAATATGATTAGAATATAGATCCCGTAAACATGTTGAATATCAATTGTTGATCACAGGTGACGAGATGACATAATTGATGACGCTGTCGTTTACTATCTAGTATCAATTTAATAATGTTTAAGGTTCAGAAAAAACAACTACATTGAACGTCAGAAAAAGGTTCGAAGATATTTTGATTGCACACTTTTATTAATGTTGACACGAGTTTCATTTTTAGTTTTATTAATATAATATAAACTACAAAAGGATGATTTAGATAGTGAACAATTTAAATATAGTTTATTTATTATTCATATTATAACCTATAGGTACTTATAAAAATAGGAAAAATATTTTTTAGTTTAAATAGATAAAAAAAAAACAATTCACGTTTTCACAAATAATAAAAATAATCATTAATATTAACTTATTGAATATTCATTAAATATAAAATAATGTAGCTTGTAATGAAATGTTTATATTTAAAGTTTAAACATCATATTATATATACCATTCTAAATAGTAAATATTCAATAACAAAAAATGTTATCTGAATGACTGAATGTACAATTGTCAATTTGAAATGTATTCGTGAGTTTGTTAACTGTTAAAAGTTATAAAAAATTCGTTTGTTTAAACTTTAAACTTTAAACAAATTAACTTTTTACTAGTTATTCATCTTAAAATATTTTTTTTAAAACCAAATATGTGAATAAAACATATTATAGTTATTGATATTGTACATATATTTAACAGTTGATATGCTAAGCAATTTTGTACATGTTATGGAATTGGCAATGTTATAGTATACAAGCTATATTATTTTAAACTATTTAAAGTTTTTACTTTTTAAGTATTTTAATAATATGTACCTAAAATATTACAATACCTTACGTAGGTATTATTATGAACAACAGTCAACAATAATATTTGGCTTACATATAGATAATTAAAATATTAATTTGATTTTATTTTAAAAGTTAATAATTAAGAATGTACGAACATAAAAAAATTAATATCGGCTAATTTAAAATTTATATCGATGATAAAATTAAAACCGTGGCGACCCTCAACATGTCCTTATACATAATGTTTAAATGTATCTATTTATAAATATTTGATTAACTGACAAGAGATCACATTGTTTACAGGCTATCGATCTATTTAATTATACCGAAACCGTCAAAACTTCAAACTTATAATGTTTGAATAATTTAACTTATTTTATTTTGTTATCCAAAACAAAACTTAACAATTATTTATGCATATTCTAATGTTATCAATTACCAATTTGTTTATACAAATTACAAATACCAACTATGTTTATACTGAAAAAATAGTGGCAAATATCATGTAGGTATTAATTAGAGCACACAAATACTACTATGCGTTTGTAATATTAGTGAGTTTATGGCGAATATTATTCTTTTGACTGACAGTATGGTATGACCTCCAGCCTATATCAACATTTCAATTGATTACAATGTACTCCGATTTCTGTACACATACACTCCAAACATGGATTGGAGAGTTCAGAAATTATTTTTCCCACTCGGTACATACGTCCGTATATATTACAGCCAGATATCTTCAGCATGGAAGCCAATAAATTGAACTCTGTATCAACCTTAGTTTTCAGTGGTGTTATCCCAACATTTGCAGGTTTTACATCGGTGTGCTGCACGACTTCAACATCAGCGTGTTGCTTAAAATCGGAATGATGCTTAATTTCTGTCTGCTGTTTAAAATCAAAATAAGGTTGGTTGACTTCGACTGGCTCTTTAACGTCAAAGTATTTATTAACTTCACTTTGATGCTTCAAATCGGTATAAATTTTGGCGTCAGATTGAAACTTTGAATCCGGATGTGTTTTGAGTTCGGGTTGATCTCTTACACTGAAATGTGACTTGACTTCAGTTTGATGGTTACTAAAGTCTTGGTGTGATGGTTTTACCTCATCATAAAGCTTTAAATCAAATGGTGATGTAACGTGAACATTTTCTTTAACATCGAAATGTGTCTTAACCTCAGCTTGTTGTTTAGTGCCAGATGGTATGGTATCATGTTTGATTTCTTGGTGGGATTTGACGTCAACGTGTTGCTTGATTCCTGATTTTGGTGGCTTGGTGTCGACGTGATGTTTAGTTTCGGAATTCAGCTTGTCGTTAAGGTATTGCTTAGTCTCAGTATTTGGTTTGGATTCTAAAGGTTTGTATACTTCCTGTGGTTCGACTTTATTATGTTTGTCTACCGAGTGCTGATTTACACCAATGGATGGGGTTGCATCCTGGTGTTCTTTTGGATACACATGCTGTTCAGTATCTGCTAGGTTCAAATTAGGTTTATGTTGTTGTTTGGGGAGTGACATGTAGTCGGTTTGTCCGTGTTCATCCGAATGAACTTTATCGTCGATTTCGTCATCTGTTCGATGCTCAATGCGAGTTTCTGATTCCATATTATATGTGGACGAGGGCAGTGAAGAAGGCGACGATGTTGGTTCCGGTGTATCGCCATTGAACAAAAATGAAAACATACTTTCAAAACTATAATCTTCATCTTCGAGTGGCTTAGGTACAGGTGTTGTAACTTCTGTGCGCTTGGTAGTTGCTGAAGTTGAAGAAACTATCAATTTTTCAGTGGTAGGAGCCAAAGTTGTAACCAACTTTACAGTGGACGTGATCGGTTTTAACGAAGACGTTTCCGAAGACACGTTCATTGGCTTTAGAGTGTTAGGCGATGAAGTTACAACTGGTTTCTCAGTTGATGGTGCAGAATATAAAATATGTTCTATAACTGCATCTCTAATGTTTGTTGTAGTTGTGGATGGGGTTGTAATTGCTTCAGATGTTACTTCAATTTGTTTAATATTCTCAATAGTAATATAATTTTCATATTCATCTGTAATGCATAAAAAATTGGGTTAAACGTTTTCGTTTATGAAGGTTGAAATAATGTAGTCAATAAATATACTTCAACTCTATAACATAAACTGTAAATCTAGTAAAAATATAGTTGCTTGAATAGAATTAGAATAACCTTGCATTAAAAATTAACCTTTAAAAAAATGTGTATATAAGATTTAAAGGATCAGGTATAACATTCTCCATTAGAAAAAACTAAAAAACTTTAAAAAGAACTTACTGCAAACGATACGGCCACAGCAAGTGCTATTGTTCGGGTCGTCGATTCGCTGGCAGCCTACTTTGACGGCTGGACAATTTGTTTGGCAAACAATTTTGGCGTTGAAACAAATGCATATGTCACAAGCACTTGGTTCGTTCAGCAACTCACCGTGTTTGAACTTCTTACCATTGGATATGCACCAAACTGAACATTATTAAAAAAAAAACAAGAAGGATTTAATACTAAGATAGTTGTTAGCAATTTAGCATATTACTTTTAAAAATAATTGTTTTACAAATTTTCACAAAATAAATAAGAATTTTCTAAAAAAAAAACGATATCACGTAATGTTGAAACTATTATACAATGCATTATTTAAGATGTCTATTCAATTAGTAACGGTTTTCTGTGTATAATTTATTTAAATTTTGAGCCGAGTAATTAAATTATTATGGACGTAATGAGTCTTATTTTTACATTTTCAAATTTATTTTGCATAATCAAATTATTGTTTTCATTAAACGTGATTTAAAAGTTTTCAATATTATATTTATGTACCGAAAATTTAACACAAATTTGGTTTTGGACAGGTTTTAATTTTAGGGTAATTTTATTTTCCAACAATCTAGTTGGAAAAATATTAATAACGTGAAAATGTGAAGAAATATAATATACATTTTGGCTGTCTCTGGGTAAAGAATAATCCAATTCCAATAGTTTTAAAGTTTTATGAATGTACCTTCTTATTTAATTATTAATTTCAAATTCAAAATAAATAAAACAACAAGCGTTTCCATTGATGGGCGAATTCACTAATGACTAATGCAGTAAAGCCCAACACCCAGTCTATTGATGTTATCAGTTATTAATTTTATTTTTTTATTTTTTATAATAATTATACAATCTATACTTTATAGCATAATAAGTATAAGTGACAAGTGACAAACAAAACATGATAAGCGTGATTAAGAAGTCACCCACTAGTGACTCTTTGCGTGATGGAAAGTTATTAATTTTATTTAAGACTTTTCTAATTAATTTAGTAATATGATTATTTACAAATTTAAAAATTGATTATAAATTAAACAACAACACTATGAGAACAACTTAATAAGTTACCAGATCCTATTGGTTGGTGCCCTACAACTGCAGGCTCATCGTGGTGAACAGTAGGTTGTTCCGTTGTCTTTCGAAATTTGTCAGGTAGATAAATCGCACCATTTGGAGAATCTTTTGGAATGAATCCACCTAAATATTATACACAATTACAAACATCAGATTTTTATATTATTATCTATAAACCTAAGACTGAGAGTATATTTAAATTTAATATTAGGTACATACTCTACGTCATTGGAGTAAATATTAGATTACGCTATAACAGTATATACCTATCATGAAATGTATTAACATTACCCTCAGTCTCAATAGGTGGAGAAAAGCTATTGACGACGGGCAAAGGAGGTTCTTCAACGTCTGATACATTGTACACACGTTCTATCACAGGCTGATAATTTTCATAAGCTGCAGTAGGTTCATCAACAACTGCATCCGCTGCAACGAATGGAATAATTCTGCATGTCGGGAATAAAATGTTTATCAAATATTATATAAATGTAAAAAAGATGCACAAACAAGAAATTATTATTATTAAAAATAAGTGAAAAGTAATTCAAATTTTCAAACTGATATTGTTAAATTTTGTTGTATATTAGGTATGTGAAGTAATATGAATAAGGTTTGACATAACTTAAACACAATATTAAACAATATAATATTATCTACTTTTCGGTTCCCTTATATTAGCCATTAGGTATAGTTAATAGCTAAATTATTAAAATCTCAAAAAATAATAGTTTTGGAACATATATAATGCAATAATAAAATTAGCACCTAAAACAATTCTGAGGAAAACTGAAACGGTTACTATTTAATTTAATTTGAAAATATTAAATAAAGTTATAGGTAATATCGTATTGTTTGTATTAACTTAACTTAGTTAAAAATACTTTAAGTTACAATTGTTATCCCTATTTTCAAATCGTCTTAAAGTCAGTTTGGTCTTCTGGTTTAAAAAAATAAAAAAAATAAATTACTTGAGGTTTGGTAAAGATGGCGGCAATGTTGGGTCATCATAATCTATTTCAAAGTTGTTAGATTTTTCAGTGACATTCAATCCACCAAAGTCATCGTGCATTAAACTAGCAGGATTAGCATGTCTCGATTCTATGGGTTCTTCTGTAATTTGATCAGTCGCATTCTTTGAACTTACAGTGATACTGGATGCACTATCTGTCTCCACCAACATCTGTTAAACACACTGAAATGTAATTTATGTTGCATAGTGTGTACGCCTTGATGTGAATATTTTAACTCGTGTTACTAAACCTTCTTCGAGGTTACAGAAGAGCGCCGACAAGTCTGAGTATAAATGCAGATTTCACTACAAGTATATATTTGCGAAAATATTATAAATAAATTAAATAGTATTCGAGCAATGGTCTGTAAACGAATGGTTTAAGTGTACAGTTTGTTACCTCTCCGCCAAAAATCTAAAAACCATCCACAAGGAGTACTTATAATATGGTAATTATCTATACTGTTTGGCATTTAATTTAATTTTAAAATTCACCAAAATTATATATTTTTTAAATATGTATTGGTTTTTATACATCTAGAACTGTTAACATTTCACTAAGGGAACGCGTCTTGAGAGTTGAGACACAAATAACGGTCTGAAACGTTGTAGGTACTTCCCAATAAACACGTAAGCTGTACTATTATATTATAATATACGTGATGATGGTTTTAATCGAATAAAAAACTGCGGTGGTACTAATAAAAGAATAGTCATTATTTATTACTAGTATTATAATTTACCTGGGCCGCCGTAGGCGTTGGCAGCGTCGAAGGCGGTGGCGAACTATTAAGCAGGACATCATCATCGACTGCTGCAGTCACGGTGGACGGCTGCGTTGTCGCAACAACACCAGTAGAAGTCGTCGTCGTCGTCGTTGGAGTGACAGTCGCACTGTTGTGAGATTCTAGGATGAAAAATGGATCAATAACGGCGATTATTTATTATAATATCCCCCTGACGATGCGTGCATAGCATGGTGCAGGGAAAACGAAAAGCGAACGCGCGGGACTTAAACGAGATGATAATAATATTATTATCATTCATCATATATTAAAATAATAGGTAGGTACGTATACCTAATATACATACACGTATATATATATATATATATATGATTAATATTTATATACATAATATAGTGTAATGGTGTATATAGGTGCGTCGGACAAGTCAGTGACCCTGTGCGGGGAAACGCGCGGCGGCGTCGAGACGTACCGTTGCTGCTAGTGCTGGTGCAGTTGTAGCTCGTCGGGCAGCAGTGCCCTTCCGAGTAGACCGGTCCGCAATTGGGCGATATTTGGGCGCGGATTGGCGGACATATCACCTTGTCACATCGCACCTGACCGTTGATGCAGAAACAAGTTTCGCACGACGACCGCGCCACGCCAATCACGGGCTCTCCCAGCGATATCAGCCGACCGTTTATGCGACAATCTGTGTTTACATAATGTGCGAAAAAACAATCGTTAATGACCAATATTTTTTTATTTCAATCGAAACAAAAGTACGCTGTCTAGCCACTAGGCGATATTCTAAGTTTGTCTTGAGACATCGACTATAAAATTGAATATAGATACCGATTTTTATAGATTCAGATCATATTATTTCTTATATCGTCCGTACAATATTGTTTTGTTACCTTTAAGCCGAGCGGATAAGGAGGATGCCATTTCAGTGGTTGTCGCATCTGCTGTATTTTTCATCTGTGCATTTTGTAATGGTGAACCTGTAAAATAAATAAATGTAATTAAGCTAAAATAAAAATGTACTCAAATATCCAAATCAGTCAGTTTACAACATTAAAACTATTATAACAATTTAATTATCAAATGACAAATGCAATATAATTATTATTTCCTAATCTTAAAAAAAAAAAATTATCATATAATAATTGAATTTGTAGTAAAGTGATTAAAACTCATTTATTATCATACGTAAAAATGTGCAATAAAACCATTCAATTATTTATATTTATTTCTAATGAATTTAAAAATATGAAAATCATCATATTATACGGTCTTAAATAAACGTTTATGCTCGCCAACCAAATTAATATTATTTCAAATACCTATTCATATATTATATTCATATCTCGTCATTTACACTTACATTTGTATCTAATTGGGCAACAAGTGTGTTTTTTGTATACAGCTGTACAGCCTGGAATAGTTAAAGAACATTGGGGCCGTACGCACTGTTGATGCCCTTTGATGCAGTAACAATATTCACACAGACTGGAACTGTCCATAGCCGAACCTTCCGCGTAAATCGTACCGTTTATCACACATCCTTGCGAATAGAAAAATAATCAAGTTTTTTTTTCTAATTGGTGTTTTGAAATTGTTTCAGAATAAATACAATATATTATCCTCGTAAATACCTTTAGGTAAACCGTCAAATGTCACAATTGCAGAATTGTCCATCCTCGCGGGTCCAGACCGATTTTGCAATGAAAATAGTTTGGAATGAACAGCATCAAATTGTTCTACAATCAACGTGGAAATCAGGATTTTAATTTTATTTTGAAAATTTTGTTGCAATTAATTTATAAAAAAAATATTTTAACCAATCATATTACATTATATTATATATTATAAGAAATAAATCAAGGTTAAATTATATTTTAATAAATTAGGTAGGTAGCTATTTAATTTAAGACATGAAAATTGAAAAAGTTCAACAAAATCAGTTGAAAATATTATTAGGTTGATAAAATTAAATATAAATGAATAATAAACATAAAATTATGTTAAGGATAAAAATAAAAAATAAAACAAATAATATTTTTAATTTATGTTAAACTGTATGTTTTATAGTTCATAGTAATTTTAGTAAGAATGATTTATTGAATAATTAATTTGATTTAAAACAGGATAAAATGTTCGTGCAACTGTCAATAACTTATCGTCAAAGTTTATTACCATATGTCTACAAGTATAAGTAATATTATATTCTTATTATGAATTATGACATTGACTGTATTGATTATTACTTGTAACTTGTAAGTAATTATTATCATCATTAACTGGCAAAGTAAAATCGAATATAATTATTATTGAACTCCTTGTACGCTATATTATTACCTATTCATATATTTAACCAATAGGTGCCACAAGTTACACAATAAGTAATACATTATGGTTTAGCCTATAAAAAATGCTATTTTTTTAAATACTTAATGCAACGAACAATGGTAAAAATTAATTTCCTAATCTTTTACTGACACCCAATACTATTCTCTCTTTTTTTCATATAGTATTAGTGTAGTTAATTATACATACCTAATTTCAATGATAACTAAGACTTATAAACTATACATGGATATATATATATTTATATACATAAATTATACATTCATATTTATTTATATGGATTCCACTTTTTCTATGTAAAAATAAAGTGTTGTGTACCTATCTTAAATTTTGTTTGATGTTCAGCCAATACGGTATGATTAGAGGATTCAAAAACGTATGCAAGTATATCTGACTGATTTTTAAAATTAATGGTATAGCTAACGGGATCCATAAGTCGGGTGTGACTCTTTATATATTATACAGTATAATATCATACGTACTGTATTCATCGAATACAGTTGCGTGTGAATATTTATTCATCGCCAAGCAGCGAAGCTTGTTCATGCGGCAAATAATAAGCTAATATTTATTTTACATTTTTACTGGCTTAGAATTAATGGTACAGAAATCAAAAAATCCTATCATCGCATTATCAATCGTCCATTTATTTATTTAAGTTTATTCTACTTATTCAGTCTTAATAATTATATTTTTAGCAAAATATTTAACCATACTATGATAATAAACTCTGAAAGAAAATAATAAATAAATAAATGCAGATAAATAGTTTAAGCCCGATTGGAAATTCAATTATAATAAAATTTACACAATTTGTAAATCGTTATGATTTGTAACGGAGCGATGCATGCATATTGATATCATGATATCACATGTTTTATGATAATATCTAGTTTTTTAGTGTCTGATGTCATCTACAGCATTTATGAGTAGTAAAAATGCTTCAATCTTCAACCTTAAGATTAGATCGTTGTAGTGATTTGAATCTAATTTAGTTAGATAACAACTAGGAAAAACTAAAAAAATAAAAATTGCAGAAAAACGGCAATAGTTATAGCGGCAACAATATTGTAGATAAAATCGATTTTATACTTTTGTGATTCAAAATGAAAGAACCGTAGAGACTTTACATTTTTACGGAATATTTATATTAGCATTTTCTATACATAATATAATTTTCATAATATCTTAGATTTTTAGAGATAATCATATATTTTTGAAATGTTTGACTTGTTCAATTAATGTTAAGTATTACATTTTTGAATATAGTTAGAAATCATTAAAATGTAATACTAAGTTCCTCTTACAGCAGCTTAAAATTATCGAAAAAATATATCATCATTTTTTTAAAAGTGTCCGGAGCTTAAATGTTTACAAAATCACGAACATTTCCTAATTATTTTGTAGTTATTTTGTAAATTCTTACAATTATTAATTTTGATTCCAAAGAATTGAAATTCTAATATAATATTTTTGATTTGTTATTTTTACAGGAATTAAAAAAAGATTTTCAAAAAGTCTCGTTAATCTTTTAAGAGCATTTTTATCTAAGAAACTGGGTATTTAAAAAAAAATAATATTTTTTCCTCTTTATAGTTATATATGTATAATACAATTTTAAAATCTCTTAATGTAGGTATGCGTGTGACCCATCGACGGAAATGCGCCACCCAAGATTGGGTCTTGACCCATAGGTTGGGAACACTGCATTGCATTGACCTACTCAATTATATGACGAGGTGCACTCAAAATCTACTATACAGCAGAGCGAGTTCCGTGGAGTTTGTTTCTTGGGTCCGACCCATATTCACTCTTTTCTTCATGTCAGTATATTTTTATTTGTGAAGGTGTAGCTACAATAAGTAGACAGTTTTTAACTGAACATAAATTTTTAGGAAGAATATTAAAAAAAATGTTGGTAGGAGGTAGACTCGATATATAATTGAATACTAAAACAGTAATAAGTTGCATAAGTAACGTTTAAAGTATGATGGAACCTACATCAATCAGCCATTAGTCATTTGTTCACCAACCAAATTTGTTTTTGGTGGAAATGGTACTTAAGTATAATTACATGGTGTAATTAACCGTTATACAAAATAATTATACATTTTTGTAGAATAATAACACCCGTTTCTAGTATCTGTGAACTCGCATGAACATGATGTTTTCTTTAAATAATTTTTAATAATAACTGTACTCATAATATATGTTCAATCAAATGCATATAATATGGTTCAATTAGCATAAAATATTTTTTTCTTCAGAAATATTCATTTTTATTATATATATATTTAAATTGATCAAATGCAATGTAATTTTTCGTTCGATACAACGAAGACAATGTGATTGACTGTATCGCAAACATGAGTACAAGATATTATATGTCTCAATTTTCGTTTTATTATTATTAATTATGATAGCTCATAGATAATTAACTATACTAATACATAAATAAGTCGTCTCTAGAGCTATTTTAAAATTGTTTTCTTTCATGAATGACGATTTTTTTTCAATATAATTTGAATATAAATTCGTTTTTATTGTAGAGTTATTATTATAAATACTAGTTTTAAAAACTGGCAAAATATAATATTGGCAAGCGCACATCACTCTTTTTACTGGTAAACTGGTCTTGAATGAATGACCTGTGGCAGTGGCGATGAGCGGCGGTCGACCTCAAGGCAATATACAGAAAAGAAGAGGCGATAAAAAACACCACGTGTACATCCCATTCATAAATCAACCCGAAACACTTGTATTGTCATTTTGAGTGTCTAAACTTATTTAGCATACATATACGATCAAAATTCCTTCATTTAAAACACCTTTCTTTGTCAGTTGTAAAGTCCATTTGTCTTGTCTAGATTTTGCGCGGTGAACCCAACCTGCAATTCTCGTCGAGCTATTCACCACTGTCCACCAAACAGTACATACCGTTTTCAATAGGTCTGGTCGGTGGTGACTTGATATGCTAAGTATTTAGGTGTTCGGTCACGTGTATGTATAATTTTACTCAACCATAGACCATAATAATAAGACGTATGTAATGCATTATACTTATTTGTATATACAAACAGTAAGTTTACAATTAAAACTTCACATAGTATATAGGTCGGTATATGCCCGAGGTGACATATTTCATTTGGCTATAATTTGCATTATTTTTTTTGTTTATTGTTTATTTAGATGTAGTGTAATAATACAATTTTAAGAAATGGATTTCAAAAGGTGAACTGAATATAACTTTATCAGTTATCTATAATTATTGTAATATACTTCCTGTATTTAGTATTTACTTATATCATGTCGATACTATATGAAAATTGAACAATATGATGTGAAATGACTAAATAAAATATGTTGTTTAACATTAATTTTTAACATTCAGTAGGTAATACATTATAATTATTTTGAAATACGACTATACGAAATAGGTACATATAATGAATATTATTTATTATTTCTTTATATTTCTTCATAATATTATTTTTTTTTTTTTAATTTTTAATTTTTTCACAGCTATAATATGTCTAATTGTCTTATGTATATAAATGTAATAAAAATAATTATAGCTTGCATGTTAACATTAAAACAATCGATCCAAAAATGTATGACAGATCAATTATTATAGTATCTAATAGATATTTATTATAGAAATTACTATAAATGTAATAGCTACTATAGCTAATAGCTTTGTCTGTAACTTAGTCTGACGACCGATTTATTATTTAATGTCCATATAAATACAATACATGGGAAAAATTTTCATGTTTTAGGGTTCATCAAACATATACCTGCTAAGATTTTAATGAATCTTTGTGTCTGAAGGCTGAAAGTACTGTATTGTTAACTTGTAATATCTTCACTTGAATTTGGTACAGTATTATGGAATCCTAATTCCTAATCAATAGTGTTTCATTAATAAACTAAACAAGGTCTAGACTCCGGAGACATTTTCTACATTTGTACGCCTTTAAAACTAAGTTAATTTATCAAAACACCGATGATATTGCTATTTATACGGTTTAAAGTCACTTAAGACCAGCCGATTAGTATTTGATGTTACTTTTCTTTATAAAATCTTGAACGGTGTTATAGACTTCCCAGAAATATTACATAAAATAATTGGTCTTGAAGTACCTCTTTTAATTCTAGACATAACCGTATTTTTGTTAAACATAAGTCAAAAAATACTTATCTCACTAATAGTTCATTATGCAGCCTACCAATAATATGCAGTCAAATACATATTTTTTTTATTCATGTTCTAAGTTAAAAATATGTAATTTTAAATTAAATAACTGATGTATGTTTCAAATTTTTGTTATGTACTAATTTACTATTACCTACCTTCATATTTTACGTAATAATATAAACTTTACTATTCATCATTTACTGTACTTTACCCTTGGAGTGTTATCTATTTATTGATTTTTCTTTACTTTCTACCATACAAAATATTTTTATATTTAGTATAATATATTAAAATATAGGATATATTATATTATATAACCTACCTACAATATATTATTATCCTCAACCCAAATGAGATGTTTATTATTTTATTTTCATCTGCATGAATAACTTATGTTATATTCTTATAGAGTTTAAAGTGTATATTTTACCATAATAACATTGAAGGTGCGCACAACATTTGTTCTTCTTGTGGACTATCACGCATCCCTGAGGTGGTGGATCTGGTAATTCTGGACAAATTTGCAAATGGCATACCAAACTTCCTGTGACACACGTGCATTTTAAGCACGGCTGGTCTGTATTAACCAATGATCCTGGATCATAACTTCGTCCTTTATAATTACACCCAACTGACGCAATTTCTAAATTAAAAAAAAAACTTTTAAAAAAACTTGAGTTACGGCAAAATATAATACAAATTATTTATTTTTTATTTCAAATATTATGTTAAGTACCTGTGTTTAAAATACTTGAAACATCAACTCATACGGTGTTATGCATTCATATAATATACGTGCTTTACAAATTGCTTATAAACAAATAAGACGTTCAGTTGGAATGAATGCAACGAATAGGGTTTTATAAAATATGAAAATATTATTAAACCAAAGGATTCTCGGGTTTTTTCTAAGTTTAAAATGTTTAAAAATTGATATATAATAATTATTATATATCTAGGTACCTACTGTATATAACTCTTCAATCGTAGACAGTATAGTATTGTAGAACTAATAAATTCAACAAAAACGTAGATCTAAGGTTTTTCCTATGTAAATCACTATGTAAGAAAATCTGCATGATAAATATACCGAATTTTGTGAGGATTATTTTGTATACAATGTTATGATATATTATGATACTTAATCATTACCATCACGTCTAATGAAAATGTTATATCATTGTGTATTTTAGGTGCAGGCAATAAAGAAAAAACAGAGAAGAGTCCGACTAACGGTACACCCATAATACACACGCCACATTATTTTTTTTTTGCGTTTTGCCATAGTCCCCAGTGTTTAATTCATTATTATAAATACACACACACATATAAAAATATTATATACAATGCATAAATATTAAAATGTTTTTAAATACTTTTTATATACCTAAAACAAATATGGAATGATAACAAGCAAATATAAGTAATAGGTATCAAGTTACTACTATAGTACTACTTGCTAATATATAATAATTAATATTATAATTTATAGTTTATTTAAGCAAAAATATAGTACGACGACTGATGAATCGTATTACTTTTATTAATGTGGTTCCTGGTTACTATTGTTATAGATGACCACTCTAAATGTAAAATTTCATATTATATTCAACCTGTCACCTTATTGATATTTGATACTAATATTTCTATGTTACCAACCATATAGGAGTATTATAGCACTTAATATGACTTGCTAAGATTGGCATGCAAATATATGAACTTACGAGCCCTGATATTATATTATTTTGGAGAATACCTATACTTTAATGAAACATATTTAGGTACCTAGATACTACATCAAAGTAATATTTTTACATTTTTGATAAATATAGGTAGGTAGGCACCTACATTAAATCGATTATGTAAGAGTATTTTCATTTTTAAATACAAAACAGAAACTATTATTGGAAATTCGAATATTTGGTAATTTATTGTCATAGTACCTATTATAATTTAAAACACACTATAATATTATAGTAATACGGGGTAATCAATAAACATAAAAAATAAAATAAAACAATAAAACACTTATCACTCGAAAAAATATTTAAAATCCAATTCATAATTTAAATAAAATGTAATTCTATAAAATATCACTATAATTTGTATTTAGTTTATTACCTTCCTATATATCTATTTGAATGCATATTTCATCTCTGTCAACGTTTTACAATATAAATAGGAACTATCAATGATCAATAATCTATAAACGTCTGTTCTGATAATGTATTATACATATTATGTACGCAAAATCAATAGTAATTGTGTGTATGAAGTATGAACAGTATTTTTTTAGACCAACTTGAGCCATATGAGTAAACATGATAACCTATCGAGTACAACATACAGTAAAATAAGTAACCAACCAACCTATGAGTTAAACAACTAAGGTTACTAAATAATTAATGTTTATATGCGGAACTGCAGATGAGGGCTGCCAATTCAAAAACTCTAACTGTCTCGTGGGAACTTTGTTTTATTCTAAAATCATTCACATATGAATAACGTATTTTAATAATGTTACTATTATTTAGAAAATTATAAGAAAAAAAATACTAACGGTTTTCTTTAACTGTAACACCTACCTACGTTTCAAAATATTAAAGTGAATGCTGCACCCTTATGTCTCAACAATATTGTTTGCATGAGTTAAAAAGGCAATGAAATAAGTAGTAAGTACCTAGGTACATCTAATATTGTATTGATGAGTATAATCTGCATAATTATATTAGATACCTATAATATATTAATCATAGACTGTATGTTAATTAATAATTATTTAAAATATTATTATTTCAAAAACAACTATTTTAAATCATAGTTTTATCAAATTATAACGGTTCTATAACAATGAAACTCCTGTGAACGCTACATATTATTACCTTACTTATAAATACAATTAAAAATCTTTTAAGGAGTCCATAATATTTTATATCGTAAAGTGCAAAATATGAATTATTGAATTTTAACTGAACAAGAAATCTAAAATGGTATACAACAACTTTATCCTATATGTCGTAATATAGGTATACATTATATATACATTATACCTTTAATCATTATATTATATAGTATTGTATAATAAATGATAAAATATTTTAATAAAATAGAGTTTAAAAATATTGTAAACAGCAGCATGATATATTTCCGGTAATATGTAATATGCACTTAATATTCAGCTTTGAAAATATCATAACTATTGATCTACCATAAAAAATACACTTATTACAGTTTACAAATAATGAAATATATTTATGTAAATTATAACATTTTATAAAAAAAAAAATGTTATTCCTAAGATCACGAGTGATAAATTGCATTAAAATAATATGTAGCACTTTTCTATAATAAGTTTTAATATATTATTTTAAAATCTTCTTAAACTCTAAACGTTATAATCATAATATAATTGTATCTTAAGTTACCAATAGTATAAAATCTCATACGTTTTATACTCGAGGCTTCTCACTGCCTTACCAACAATGAAATTATGAAAATATATGGGTTTAGTAGGTATACCGTCTATATTATGTAATTCAGTATAAAATGTTGTTTTAGTATTCGGACAGCTTTAGTTCAAGTTGTCAAAATGATAACTCCTACAGTGCCAGTATTTTAGGCACTAAACCCGGTGGTAACCAAACCCAGAATACATTATGGTAAACAACATACACTACTCTGCGGGAACCAAGCAGACGGGACGTATACACACACACACACACACACACACACAAGGGTTTAATGTACAGTTATACGACGATGTTATCTTGATTTCATAAAACCCAAATTAACGGTGTGTGTTGAATCAAAAACGACCATATACATACAAAAATATAGTATACATAATATTACATATACACATTGCGATGGAGCAGTTGTGTGTGTATGTGAGAGAATATATCGTGTTGGGCTCACGTCTGCCTCCAAGGGGTTTCGCGTTCATGGAAGTCTGCCGCCCGTGAGTGGGTTTCCTGCAATTCGTAATTACATCCTTAAGCGGCGTGTGTTAACCGTGAGAAAGTTAATACCCATAATACGCCAACTTAAGATAGGACTATGTAGACTTATATTGTTTCCAAACTTCACAATATCATATGTCTAATTATTCAGATTATTTTTTTTTTAGCGGTTAACCCTCCCGTAAAATAATTATAGATCAACGTTTGCATTGTGCACTAAAAATAATGTTCTCCGCTATATATTATAATGTATACGTTTCTATACGTTTGTATATATTAAAGTATTTAAATGTAGATTGTATAAAAGGCGTAATATAGTATATTATCACGTTAAAAGTTTAAACGATCAAACGAAATCGCCGGAAGTTTTACCATTAACGGGTTCACATTCTGCCACATTACCCGCATACAATTTTCAGTTGTATATTATATATAAATATATTTTTTTCGAAATCGTTTAAAATTGCTAATGTACCACCTATGTACCGGATTGTAGTACCCGTATTTTTAGTTCGATATTAAACATTGATAAATGTAGTTAATTTGAATATTACAAATTCTAATTTACAACGTTAAGGACGTTGCACATTTATAGTCAAATACTTGAAATACATTTATATAATAATATAAGTAGTACATTTTATATTCGAGTAAATATCTATGTATAATTGAGTCTTTTACTAAAACTCTGATCAACCATCTTATTTGTTAAAATATTTTTACATTAACTTATACATTTCAGTATATTGCCTAAGTGTTTATTCGTATTAAATTATTTAAGTATACTTATTCTACTACTGTCTAACTGTTGCTTAGGACTTGCCCCTAAATCATCCTTATACAAATAAATAATAAAAATATGTACTAGTAAATTCTTTACATATTCTGTACCTAGTACCATAATGTCATTTATTTGAAACTGTAATTTTTTTCAAACAGGTAATAATAATTTAATTTAAAATAAAATCTGTTCATAGGTACAAATAGCACCAAAATGTATGAGAAAAATTCGAATAGAAAATATTCTTAATTGTATAAGAAAAAGAAACTATATTTTTACTCGTTAAAATGATTGTTACTCGTATTTAATTTAATATTGTTACACATTTCAACATTTGTGAATGCAAGCATATGTGCGTGTGTATACGAATGTATACAGTTGTGCGTGTTGTACCTATTAACCCGAGTAATACCTATTATTGTATCCTCCATAGATCGATGTGTGGCAATCTGGAGACATCAGTATTTTTAATTGCGGCGGTGCAATTACAAAAGAAGACGGTAAGACAGAGAAGGAATAGAACATTCCCTGTGCGTTAATTATTTAAAGTGGACCATGTACCGTGTTGGTCATTAACTAATTGCCTGGCCAGAACCGATCGGGCAATCTTTTCTTGAGAAAAATGTCACCGGTCATTTTTTTTTCTCAATCCACCTATACACACTATACATTTTTTTTCTTCACATTTTTTTTTCTCTTATACAATTTCTTCTTATTTCCTGTGGCCGATGGGTTTCCGTTGCTATTTCCTCAACTCAGGATCAACGGTTTCTGATACAATGCATTCACTATAGTGTTTCAGAAGCGCGTCGATTAAACATACAGAAATCTCAATAATTGCTATTAAAGTCAATGATTTGTACCTACTACCAAGTACCTACCAACCCCAACATACGTGACTAAACAATGCTCGGTGATCCACACACATATTACATGATAAATATTAAACACGTGCTTACGATTTGTGTTTGTACATTAAGCTTTGGCCTAAACTAACATTAATATCCAACCATCTAGATTTAGTCATTATATTTTTATAAATTTAATTTTATGCAACATTATCTGTATATACTACTATATAGCAAATGATTTTTAAAAAAAAATCTTTTGGTTTATTGTCGTGCAAATTGAAACATTAATCTATAAACCGTAAAATTGTTAACTCTGAAAAAGTAATTATAAATAGCTGAAATTGAATATAATATTCATCGTCATATCATACCTACACGAAATACGTATGAAGTAACTTTAATTGTCAATTGTCAAATGTTTGCTTATACAAAGTTATCGAATACTAATGAGAATTTCGTTCTGGTAACCTTGTGTTAAACTTTTAATCAAAATACACTATAAGACGAGATGTTATATATTCGTGCAATTTGCTGCCTTATACAGTTATACTGATGAAAGAATATAAAAGGACAAAGAAATGCTCTAAATAATATTTGATATAATATGATGATTATTGATTTATCAATACTACAATATTATCAAACTACGTCTTTATGACTATAACAATTACCCGTGTTTCACACGTATAATATTTTTCAGTATTTGTATTAATCTTGGTCGCTTCAAGGTGGGCCCGATGAAAGGAAAATTATTATAAATAATAATATAATAAATATTCACACACTTGAAAATATTATTATGTTTTTATTAATATTAAATACAATCAGTGGTACTTTATCAAAACTACTTTATAATAAAGATTAGCTCTAGTCAATAGAATTATTGTTACAAATGAAAAAGAACATTTTCATTGTTATAATATATTATTTATGATAGTAACAAATAACAATAGCCATATAATATAATATTCAATATTTTATAATGTTTTTAATAACCTTACTCAATTGTATACTTGTTTCCATTTCTATACCAGTAAGTTTTATACTACCTATAGTTATTAGTTAATTCTGTTATATTAACTTCAGTTTTCAGAAAAGATCTGTGTTCAAATCGTATATTAACAACATTTTACGATACACAATATTATGTAAATATCAATATTACACACCATATTATATAGAATTTTTTTTTTAACAATTAAATCTAACTTTTCTTACCAAACTTTAAATAATGTATAACATTTAGCTGTATACCTAATAATAATGGTAATAAATTAGAAGAAAGCGTCAACTGATGTATTCAAAGTGTGTATTATTTTTATTTTTATGATATTTATTATTCAATTACTATAAAAGAAAATATTAATAAATATTTTCCATTGAAAACCCAAAACAATTTCATTTTAACGGAATAAAAACGATGACACGAATTTAATGTGGGATGTTAACATAATAGAATAAATATAATATAGGTAAAAATTATTTTTCTTTAAACTATTTAATTTACCAAAAAAAATTGAATAACACATAACTAAAATTAGGGTGTAGCTAGAGATTGGGTTTGTACATTTATTATTTCTTACAAAAAAAAACTTTCATATAAGTACGTGTAATAAACCGTTATAATATAAAATGTATGTAAAGAAGCTAATTTAGACCATTTTTTCAATAGTTCGACACTGGTAGGTACCAATAATTTATTTTTACGAAATGTTATATATTTTTATTCAAATTGTAATTTATAATTATTATTGTTAAAAATGTTATTTTTATTTAATAATGAGAAAAAAAAATACCTTTTTTTTCTGGCAGCAAAGGTAACCATGTTTTAACCGGTTTTTGTTTTCAGTAAAACAAAAAGATCTATTTGACTAACAACGATTTTTTATGTCTGTCTCGTAGACATATTTCTGTCATGGGAAATGGGGATGTAGGTACTATAGGTACTATATGTAACATAATATATAATATATTATATTATATAGGTATGTGCTTATTTTTTTATAGATTAGTGATGAGTGAAGGAAAAATGTTTATATTCATAAAAAATGTCACGACGACACAACATATTGAATACCTAAATATAAATATTCTTATCGCATTACCGGTAGAGTTGACTGAGGCGGCGTCGACGTCGACGTCCTCGTCGGTGGTTGCGGGTGCGACTTCAGCGGCGTGGGTGGCTGGCCCGTTGCTGATCCCAAACGTCCGTCGGTCTGTAAGCAGCATCAGGAGCGCGACCATCCACGGACGAACCATCGTACGCAGAGTGATGACCATACGACCGCGTGGTCAAGCACAGACTGTTCTAGCGCACACGGCCGGCCACGCGCCTCGCTTCGCCGCATCACATACATCATACGCACGTACGCGCGGTATTGTCGTATGTTACCTCTTCGCGTGCACACCATGTCGCTTGTGGTGTGTGTGTGTGTTTGTGTGTTTGTATGCTATAGTGCGTGTGTGTGTGTAAGTGTATGCGTGTGCGTGCGTGTGCTTTGTGCGTGTAATGTTTTCCAACCAGCAGTTACCGCCGTCACCGTTACCGCCGCACCATTGTCGCTGGTCCGCGAGTGCGGCGGAGGAACGTCGACCACGGCGACCCATCAATAAACGACACGACTCTGTTGTATAGCTCGCGCCGCAAAGGTCACCACCGTCCACCACTATACGAAGGCCGTAGTGTGTTCATCTTATCGCTTTTTTAACGCCGCCGCCGTAACGTGGTGTGTGGTCATCGTCGTTTAGTGCAATCCGTCCGGATGTTGCAGTCATCGTTTATAAAATATCTGTCGATTCGTTTAACACAAAATTACATAAAGGGTAATTCTGTAACAACAAATTTCATCATGCATCATGGGCGTTTGTTAAATTCGATGCCTTATAGGTAGAGATCGAGATCGACTATTAGATGAATATTGGTCGATCTTATTAAATATCCTGATAACAATATCCTGTTGATTAAGTGCGTTAAGACTTACGTAAAGCTCACCTTTACGCTTTATAATAGTTTATACACAAAGTAAAGTATTATTTAATAGTGAAGAAAAACATTCAATTTTCCGACTGAGAAATAATGAAAAAAAATTATTACATACTATAAAATGTATAATTATACTGCATGTAATAATATATAATATAGTATAGGTACCTAAACAAAATAGTGGTAGATCACCAGATATTTAAAATGTTTAATGTGGCTCACTTGTTGGAAAAGGTTGACGACCCCCTGCCTATTAGAGTACCTATATAAAAAAATTGTATCTAGCAGGAGAAAAGAAAATTGAAAACGTATAATAAAAGTATTAGTCAACCTATTTCAAGGAGGTTTCATCAAAATCTTATACTGATTAACTTGTACTTTTATTATAATATAATCAGACAAAATTGTATTATTTTGTGTGACGACTGTGCGATGTTCTAATAATAACGTATAATAGGTTCATCAAATTTAGTTTAATTTGCTGTTCAATTGACAACAATCATGACTATATATTAATTACATTATGCCCTGTATGGTACCAAACAGATTTTAGTAACGAATAATATTATATAATTAATATAATAAAACTTAAAAGTAGACTTAACATTAAAGCAGTTGAACGAATTCACCGATATTATAAAAATTACATACATACCGAGAAGATGAACGATAAACGTCCTAACTGGAATCACAACTTTTTAAAACAAAACCAAATAAACCAGTTACAACAACAAGTATAGGTACCTACCTACCTACGTTCTCGTCATTAACACTATCGTTTCATTCATCAAACATTCAAATATATGGATAACCGCTAGTACCTACATTAATTTAACAGCTTATACCTACCACTCAAACGGAAAAGAAAATCACTGATGGATAATTTTTTTTTTTGTATTCTGTAGGCTGTTTACTTACGGTTTTTTGGGTAGAACTATATTGCTGTAGGAATCTCATGTGACCCCAGTATTATATCGAAATCTGAGTGAAGTCAGTAATGAGTTGTTTTCAGAACGCCAGCCGCCAGGGTGTTAATAAATGTTCATCAATTAATTTCTAACATCACAAATACCACAACACTGCGACAACGTGATATGAGCATACGAATGCCAGATGTTGTATTCAACAGGCTATTATTATTGGAAATGGTTTTAATAGAAAGAAGTTCAGTATTATAATATTATCAACATTTTTAAATTCTGAGCAGATCGATGAATGTAATGATTTTACAATATTATACGGGTGTTGTTTTTTTTTTAGGTGTGTTAGAGTGAGGTACACGATTTCAAATAAAAAAAAAAGCTTTAATATTCTGATTTTTAACGTCAATATATATTCTGGTAGAAAAGTGAATTTATAAGTATATTTTAATGATATTATTGTGAATAAAGTAATTTATTTATCTATTTACGAGGAACTTGTTTTAAATGTTCAATCCTTACCTATAATAAAAGTTGAACGTTTTATACATTTTTAACTACAAAATAATTTTAAAATTTAAAATTTAATAAATGTTGTCAAAATTTGAATTTCAATGTTTATAAAAAAAAATTGTTCCCAAGTATTTTTAATATTTTTTTCAACCGCTTATAAAAATTTAATCTAACTTTCCAGAAGACATTTTTTTTGATAAACAGACAGACTTATGATTAATCTGGTATTAAATTTTAAATTCTTAGACTTAAAAAAAGATTTTATGTATTCTAACTCAAAATAATTAGCACATTTTCGTGGTTTTATCAAAATTTGAACTTTAAATAATCATTGTGACTATGTAATTTTAATATTTTTCAACTTCCGTTGTAACAATATATTAAGAGCCTTGTATTAATTTTTCAAGCTTTTTGAACTAACGAATAAACTTTTATTGACATTTATTGGAAAAAAAACCTTAAAAAATTAAAAACTGAAAACAGCTCAAAATAAGGCAAAATATTTTGAAAGTTTTATTGTGTATAGAAAATCCTAATATAGACATCCAGTGAAAATCTCATTTGTATGCATTTTACGGTAATTTGTTTTCGAGTTACACCAAAAACCAAAATCGTTTTGTCGAAAACAAATTATGCGAGAAAATTCCCTCTTTTCCTTATTTTTTTTTTTGTTTTTTCCGGTGCTTTTAAAAACTACAGGTAATTTGAATCAGAAGCAGGACTACAAATTACGATAGTAGAATAAAAAAAGAAATTACTGGTAGAAAAAAATATTACTATAGATACCATAGAAAGAAGCTTATGAGTTATAACAGTATATGTCTGGACTGTGGTATTATATGGATATAAGTCGTAAGACATGAACAGTGAATACAATTGAAAAGGATATGTTGGGGGCTCTAAAAATTTGGTGTTTGAGTAAGGGGCAATAATGAATAAGTTGGACTGAAAGAACAACAAATGAAGACATCTTAAAGAATAAAGACAATTGAAGAAAAACTAACATTAATAGATACTCTAAACTCTAAAGAAAATGAGATGGCAGATAAAAGGGCTCACGCTAAGGTATGCCGAAGGGCGAAGAATTACACAGTCTAATAACTGAAGGAATGATTGAAGAAACTTGATTAAAAGGAAAGTTAGCCAAATAACGGAGGATGCGAGAGTCAATACGCTTAACAACTCAAGATGTGTTAAACAATAGGGAAACATGGAGAAAACATTTGTTGTAAATAAATGTATTAAAAACCAATATTGAATTGAAAATCTAAAAAAGTGTGGTGGGATGGGATGGGGCGATCACCCTATCTAGTCCACACTCGTATCCACGTACCAACTCGTACTGGTTGGAGTATCTCTCCACGTTTGTCCTTACTCGTCAATTCTTACCAATAATTTGTTTCTGGTTAGTATATTTTTTAATACGGTTTTTGAACAATATTATTGTATTTTGTACCTATATAAGATAACATAGACAAGTTAAGCTTTGAAGTTGTAATACTGAAACGCACAAAATAAAATATTAATTATTTTTTCCATTCATATTGTGCTTTGTAAAATTTAACATACTACATACATAAACGATTTTAAATAGAACCAAAAATGTAGGCTATTTATTTCAGTTTTTAAAAATGTTATCAATTTATTGTCGATTTAAATTAATCTTTTGTAAGTAATCTGTTGTTAATAAGTCGTTTCGGTCAAACTTTTCAATATTTTATTTATTTCATAGTTTAACAAAATATCCTATTTATTCCGCTCAGAGCTGTAGCTAGGGCTTGGCGAGACTGGCCCAGGCCAGGGGCGCAACGAAAAAGGGGCGCGAAATCCAGAACAAAATATACCATATAATATTTATATATATTATATATGGTATTATTATTTATTGGTATTCTTAATAATTTACATTTTACTAGAATATGCACTATAGTTTTATTACTATAAATCCATTATTGTTATTAGTGACTATATACTATTTAGTATTTCATCGCCTCAGAATAAAAAGGTTCTAAATCAATTTTTTTGAAAAATGGTTTTTTTGCATATAATCATTTATAATTTTTTGTTGTATAATTCAATCTTGAAATCGGATCGATCCGTTGATTATTCAATGAGATACAGAGAATGAAAAGGTTCTAACCAGGGTTGCCACCTTTTTGTTTTTAAAATAAAGTACATCATGACTTATGGAGATTTTTTTGCACCCAAAATAAATTGTGAAAATTCAAAATACTGAACCAAACCAGTAATGAGTAAAGTACAGGACAAAAAAAAAACAATTATTTAAACAATAAAAAATGTGAATTTATTGATATCATACAAACATCATAGAATTAAAACATAGTATTAAGAACTAATCTTTTTAACAAACTTAAAACAATATTTTATTATTACATTATTTCTATAAATATATTATAAATTATTTTTATTAACGATATTTTTAAATGTATACTTTTTATTACTTTTAGCAGCTTTTAGTAATTTTTCATCTTTTAAAATTATCATAAAGTTCAGTGCATGTTTCTTTAGCATTAAGAGTGATAATTAATTCGTATTTGATAAGTTCAAGCCTACACTTATTTCTTTCATCTCTATATTTTAAGTCCATCATAGAAAATACTCTCTCACAGTAACTTGATGTTGCAGGAATACTATATATAAAACTAACAACTTTGTAAATATTTTTAAGATGAAAGATATTATTTTTCAAGATTTGCAATTTTAAATAAACTTTGCCATTTATTAATTGTAATATTGAATACTATTACTTCTAAAATAATAATATTATACCATTTATTAGCGTCCCCACAATATCTATATTCCGTGTTAAGAATAATTGATGAACTATTTTCCTCAAGTAAATA